AAAAAATAAAAGCATCACTGTATCACTGTCATCCCCTTGTTCATTGATTTAGTTGAGCAGGTACCAGTAATGTCTCCATTCATCCCAGCCCTGAGATTTTAGCAGCCTCTCCTTACTTGTCTTTCCCAATGCTGTCTTATTGGAGGCTCTTTCAGGGTCAGGGGAATGAGACCTATTATTGTACTGTTTTTGGCATATTGAATATGCCACAGCTAGCTAGCTTGCAGGCTCTGCCGTGCAGATAAGATATTCTCGGTAGCTTGCCGGGCTCTCCGATATATATACATATATACATATATATATAATATATATATATATTCCCTCTATGATTTGTTGCCTGCTGTCTGAACCCCATCAAAGATGATGTGGTAATTATGGAAAATGGGTAGGGAGTGTCTTATGATGCGTCCAGGAATATGTTCACTTATATGTGAGGCTCAACCCAAGCGTGTGGAAATCAGCCTGGAGTGTGGTGGTGGTTGGCTAGTGGAGGTTGGCTGCCAAGCCTGGGTTCCTTGGGGTGGGGAGGGCTCTCATCCACCCCCGTCTGGGGCACCCTGAGTGAAAACAGCCTGGTGTGGAGTCCGGTGGCATGGTTATGGGGGCCTCATTTTTTGCTCCCTCCTGGGAGAAGCAACCATGAGTAAGATTAAAAGCATAGCATTAACAAAAGCATAGCATTAACTATGTCTACACAAAAAGGACAATGCTCTAAAGTAAACTATGCAAAGGACATAAAGGAAAAGAAAAGCAATATTTCATTTACATATACAAGGTCTGGAGCCCTCAGAAGATTTTATCTACAGGTTACAGGGTCTGATTTGGGGGTATTTGTGATTAACAGATAGGGGATGAAGAGCACAAAGGATAGGTTAAAGATAAGCACTGAGGATTAGGAGTGCCTGATGGAATTGGGTGTGCCTGATAGAATTGGGAGCACTGTGATGGGTGTAACTCAGTAAACCTAAGCTCTCTGTGGGATGAGCAAGGACAAACCAATGTTACTTCTGAAAATGCCTAGAACTATAATCCGAGACACCATGATTTACAAAGTTAATCATAATTGGATTTTTTACATACTAAGTTCCATCACTTATCCCACCATCATTGTTAACTTCCTTCCACCAGTTTCCCTTACCTTCCCCTCCCACCCCCAGCCTCAGCCTGCCATCTTAACAGGCACCTTTTAAGTTTGGTTATTAAAGTTTGGGTTTCTGTATTTGACTCTGTGGTTTGGATATTTTGCCCCATCATTCCTTAATACCACTGGTGTACCTGAATCCCCTCAACCCTTGACCCTCTTGCTTCTCATCTATGTGTTCTCCCTTTCCCCTTAATTCATTTCTTCTATTGTTCTTCTTGACCTCATCTCATAGTTCTCTAATGTGCTGCTCATTTTCTTGCACAATTTTTTTTCTGTTATTTTCTGGAGGTTTCCTGCATCTCATCTCAGAGTTCCTGAGTCCTTTCCCCAGCTACTGTTATTCTGGTGCTCAGGCCTTATTGTGGGTTTTTTATTTTGGTTTGATTTGGTTTGGGGGCTACATCCAGTGGTGCTCAATGTGTGCTCTTGGCTCTGCACTCAGGGATCACTCCAGATGGAGCTTGGGGACCAGGTGGGATGCCAGGATGGAAACCAGGTCCACCATGTGCCAAACAGCACCTTACCCACTGAACTATCTCTCTGGCCCCTCTTGCGTTTTTTAATATCACCAACCACATTCTTCATTTCTGTCCTTTCTGAATGTAGTTTTCTTATTTCTGTTCTCATACTTTGATCTGTGCCATCCCCCCTTTGAGCTCATTACGCATCCTCAGTATGGTGTCACTGAAGTCATTGAGAGTTTGCAGAACTGGCTGATACAGGTATAGCCTGCAGTGCTACTGTTTTCACTCATTGAGCTTGATGGGCTTCTACTCATTTTCCTCATTGTGTTTGCTGTTTTCCTGAGATGCTGAGGGTTAATCTTTGTAGTTAGCCCCTTCTCAGTCCCTGAGGAGTTAAGGTGGGTGTTACTCTCTTCCTTCCCTACAGGTCTTCACCCAGTGACAGGAAGCATAAGTGTGATTTGTGAGAAGGAGGATGAGTAGAGGTATTAATTTCACCTGGAGGGCTGGAGAAGCAAATGGAGGTTTATGAGGTGTGGTGGTAGTCCTGCTGAGATGGCATAGGATGGCATTAGGCTTACTTGGACCCAGCTGGAAAGGAGAATTAACTTTCGGTTTCAGAAAGCCTCGGGGATATCAGTCTGGAGGTCAGCCTCATCTGGAATGTTGTTGGAGCAAACAAAAGCAAAAACATATTTAAATAAAAAGAATAAAATTTTAAACTGTCTATTATAATCTGCTAGCTACCTTAAAAACTTGAAATTATTGTGCTTAGTGACACAAAATTGTTGAAACCTTTAACTTTTCACTTTTATTTAAACTAGGTTATGAGCCTAAAGCCAGATCAAATGTTGTATGTTATCTTTCTTCAGTAAAGAGATGATGGTTCTCCTTCTTTCGGGTCTAGCCTTCTGTCAGGAAGAACGCTAAGAACTCACAGCTAAAGTTGCAAATAGAGGAAAGGGTTATCTAGCTTTTACTTTAAGCATCTAGGAAAAGTAGCACTGTCCTCCTGTTGTTCATCGATTTGCTTGAATGAGCATCAGTAACATCTCACAACAAATTGTGAAACTTGTTGTTACTGTTTTTAGCATATCAAATATGCCACAGGGAGCTTGCCAGGGTCTGCAGTGTGGGTGGAATACTCTCGGTAGCTTGCTGGGCTCTCTGAGAGGGACGGAGGAATAGAACCTGGGTTGGCCATTTGCAAGGCAAACGCCCTACCCGCTGTGCTATTGCTGTTCTTATTGTATACTAAAAAAAAACTGCATGTACCCAAGATTCCAGTTGCTTTTAAACAAACTGACAACATAAAAACAAAAAATAACTCCCTAGACTTGGCAAAAGCTATTGTGATCACTGGCGAGAAAGAAAGCATGGCATAGGAGGGAAGTAGAGGGATTTTTTTACTGGTGGGGTGATACTAGAACTTTAGTGGGGAGGTTGTATTATAACAGGTATGTGTGAAGCTAAACTCTTGAAATTCCATAATTCTGCGTATCAATTATAAATCAAATTTAAAAACACAGGCTGGAAAGATAATAGGGGCAGAAAGGAGCTTGCTTACCATCCGGGTTCTATCTGAGGACCCCAACATGGTGCCTGGAGTACCACCAGAAGTGATCCCTGAACACAGGCCCAAAAATAAGACCTGAGCACAGCCAGGCGTGGCTTAAAACCAAAAAACAGCAAATCAAGACCAAAAAATTAAAACCTGATGCTTTTTGCTTATGGCTTTCACTCATTCAATAATTCAAGGATTATATTGTTCCACATTTTTCATTAGGAAAATAGAATTTCCACACAAATCAAGAAATACTGTTTGGATGTTCTTAACTGTAAAATTTATAGAGGAAATATTTTTAAAGTTAATTTGCAAATTACTGTCACATAATACCAAAAGAAATATATACTATTTTGAAATCATTTAAACTGAGGGACCAAATAAAGGAGAGGGCTTTATTTTATGTAGTTTAAGTAGTCACTATAATTAGCCTAAAGATGTTTCTAACTTGCTGAACAAAGGACCTCTTTTATGTTTGGAATCTCTCCCTACTATTCTGTATCCAAGCTCTCCTGACATTATCAAATCTAATACTTGCCTTATTTCTGATCTTGATATTTTATGCTGCCCACCTGTCCTACCCAATGCCTAATTCGATACTGGTTATCATCTGTGCCTTCCACTTACCCTTGGCATAATAGCCAGACTTTTTAGCTTTTCATTGCAAGTTATCACTTGTACTAATACTCTTTAAAAAAAACAAACCACTGTCACATAAACAACATTGAGTTACTATAAAAAATTTGGATATTCTTCTCTAATTATTTGTACATATTCAGTATTAGTTGTATATATGGTAGTCACCAATAACATACTGAATTATTCCTCTATTTGGTTTCATCTACAGATGCCATCTGTTTCTTAATGTGTATAGCATTCTTGAATCACTTTATATACAAGAATATTGTATATTATACATAAGAATATTATATACAAGAATAACAGAATATTTTGTAGCAGCGATAAATATGAATCACTTCCAGTAATGCTAATTGAAAAAACCTATATTGTAGTTATCCTTTATTTTACTTGAGCCATATAACACATTTAGAGTATGTATGTTGATAATCAGTATCACTTATAGCAGATTAACTTACTGATATCAGAATACTAAATTGATAAGTTTTTCTATATATAACTGATTGAAATTAGTACCTATAGTACCTGAAAAGCATAATTATTTATATATGTATGTATAAGTGTACTTTTATTAAGGTAGCAATTAGAATTAGCTTCCTCCTCACTCCAATTTTTATTACTTAAAGATTAAAAATTAATATAGAGTAATTAAATTATACTTATTTTCATATATGGTTTGTGTAATCTTTTTATTATGCTATGATTGTGACTTTTATGTCATCAAAGTTTAAGCATCTAAAATATACTAGGATTTCATCTTTGCTTCAGAATTTGCTGAAATGGTTTGTAGAACTTATTTAAGAGCAACAAATAATATAATAGTAAACTTTAGACCTTTTAAAACCTTCATCTTGTGTTATTCAACCCATATATAAAAATAATTTGGTACAGTTACAACACTGTAATATATGTGATTATTGCTTTCCAATAAACAGTTACATTGCATTAGTGAACTTAAACATTTTTTAGTATATAGGGTATCTGTTTCCAGGAGTAAAAAAAAGATATAATTTTACAACTGGAATTTATAATGCCCAACTCATATAGTTAATTTTCTATCAGTTGTTACCACAGAGTTGCTAAAATTAATATTTTTGTATCATAAAAGATCAAAGCATTTACATTTAGTTTTCTTTGTCTTTGTTTTCTTTTATTTCTCCCACTCCCCAATCACTTCATGGCATTTCAGTACTTCAGAGAATATAGATGAGCTCTCTTCCTCCAGTAGCTGGTTACTTAACCAGAAGCACAGTAAGAAAAGGAGAAAAGATAGGACAAGATTGAAATCTCCATCCTTCACTGTTACGAGCACAGCAGCTCGAACAAGGCCGCTTCAGAGTTTCCACAAACGAAAGCTCTACAGACTGAGCCCTTCCTTTTATTGGACTCCACAGGTAAGGTGTCACCTTCAAGAAAACATAAAAAACATTTTTACAGTTAGTATATTTCATGTACAAGTGGATATGCATTGTGTTACAGTTATGAGAAAAATCACATATAGAAATCTTTACAATATTTTTCTAAATGATATTAATAGGCATTGACAATTTATAAAATGGCATTAAATGCGTTTTATAAACAGAGCAGGGCTATCTGAAACATCTCACTCTCCATTTTTTTAAATCCACTATTATACTTAAATAGTTAATTTTACTGATATGAGTAATCAGAATAAATAATACTATATATTTTCTTTTGCTTATAAAATTAAACCTGCGTAGAAATGTTATTTTGAAGAAAATGAGAATAATCTTTTTAGGTTTGAAATTTGTTAACACTGATATTTGCGTCTTTTTCTTTCCCTTTCCTTTTTTAGAATTTAAGTAACAAAATTTTAGATAACCCTACTTAACACTGTATAAAAATAAAATATATGCCACAAAAAGCTATTTTTGGAAAAGTTCACTTTTCATTTTTTAGCAAAATGTTGATATACTTTCTCCATTGTACAATCTAAAACTACGATCTACGATCTATCTTTCTTTCATATTAAATCACTGTGAGATACAGTTACAAAGATTTTATTGGTTGAGTTTTACTCATAAAATGATCAAATACTCATTCCTCCACCAGTGTACATTTTCCACCACCAATGTCCCCAGTATCCCTCCCGGCACTCCCACTCTACCCCGACCCCTGCCTCTATGGCAGACAATTTTCTTCTTACTCTCTCTCTACTTTTGAGCATTATGGTTTGCAGTGCAGATACTGAGAGGCTATCATGATTGGTCCTTTGTCTACTTTCAGCACACATCTCCCATACCGAGCAATTCCTGCAACCATCATGGACTTAGTGATCCCTTCTCTATCCCAGCTGCCTAGAAGTATTTCTTGATATCCTATACATGGGAAATTTATTGACATAATATTCAATGTTATTATACTAACCATTATAGTATAAATTTTTAGTGAACAAGGACTATATATTTCTAAATCTACAGGTTGTGACAGTTAAGTGTCCAGTAGTTCATGCTTAATAAATAATTGTTCAGTGCATAAAGTATTTAATGTAATATAGAGAGATCAACATAAAGCAATGGGTTGTAAGAACTTAAGAAAACAGGTGTATTTGTCATGTGTGTTTTCTCAGTTTGCATAGTTCAAGTGTCTAAATGGTACTGTCCAACAGAATTTTTGATAATGATATAACTTTTGTAAATGTCTTTGCTGGTGATGATGGTACTTACTTCATACATGTAGCATTCTACATATATAGTGTGTACAACCAAGGGACTGAATTTTTCTTTACTAATTTTAATTTGCCATATATTTATAATGGCTTCCAGAGTAGCTATAACAAGTCTAGACTTAAACTTACACGCTGACAGTAAATACAGGAGCCACTGATTCTTATTTTCTAATACTGTTTTCCACTAGATAGAGCCAGGGATCTTTGGAGAATATTTTGACTCCAAGGCTTGGGAAGGATAGGTGTAAGATGAGCATGAAACATCTTAAGTGTGACTAAGAAGAACAAAGGAGGGGCTGGGGTGATAACACAGCGGGTAGGGCGTTTGCCTTGTACGCGGCCGACCCAGGTTCGATTCCCAGCATCCCATATGGTCCCCTGAGCACCGGCAGGAGTAATTCCTGAGTGCAAAGCCTGAAGTAACCCCTGAGCATCGCCAGGTGTGACCCAAAAAGCAAAAAAAAAATTTAAAAAAGAAGAACAAAGGAAAATGTTATGGGTCTTTTTTTCAAACTTTTTATTGAGATACTAACATTTATAGTACTGTTAGTCATACTTTTTACGCAATTATCATTCTAATAGCACAACTGTGCAGTTGTTTTATAAAAATAAAATAAACTAGCATGAAGAAACTTCTATTTTTTAAATCTGGGATTATTTGAGTATCAGAATAACTAATAATAGTAACCAATGTAAAACAGGAAGCCGAGTCTATATTGCTGTGTATGTGTGAGACAGAAAAAAAGAGAGCATTAGGCATAGAGAAAGAGAAAGGGAGACCTAGAAGTAGAGAGATGGAAAAGAGAAAAAGGATTTTCTAGATAATAGAATGCTGATTAGTAAATAAACTAATGTAGACTGAGCAGTCAATCCTTGCAATAATAAAAGATCTGGCAAGAATCATCAATTGAGTTAAATCTCTGGGTTCAGGTTAAGAAGATTTGACTAGTAAAGTAATTTTATGATTTTTATCATGATTTTTAAAATGCCTCACGTTGGTTCCTGGGGGAATCATAGTATGTGTATGGTAGGAAACCTGTTTGCAGGGAACAACTTTGAGTGATCAAAACTAACTGTGAGAAGAATACAGTATCAGTATATGATATTTTATTCAGGGAGAACTTATGTATAAGGAAGTATAAAACAAAACCAAAGTAAAAACATTCAAGTAAACAATAATCATTTGCCCATACTTTAAGAGAAATGACACCAAAATTATGAAAGCCAAAAAAGGCTGAAGACCCATTTTATATTCACAAATCACAAATCACAAATCATCCTATTATTTGTCGATTGCCTCGAGCAGGCCCCAGTAATGTCTCCTTCATCCTAGCCCTGAGATTGTATTCGAGGCTTTTTAGGAGAATGAGACCCATCATTGTTACTGGTATTTGGCATATTGGGTATGCCACGGGGAGTTTGCCAGACTCTGCCAATTTTTATATTAATATATATATAAAATATATAAATTAATGCAGGTTCAGATTCCTTTAGAGGGAATAATTATTATGATAATTGGGAAACTGAACTATCTATGGTAGAGTACACAAAATATTTTATCATTGTAATGTATTCTAAAGGGCAGAGCGATAGCACAGCCGGTAGGGCATTTACCTTGCACGCAGCTGACCCAGGTTCGATTCCTCTGTCCCCCTCAGAGAGCCGGGCAAGCTACTGAGAGTCTTCTGCCCACAGGGCAGAGCCTGACAAGCTCTTTGTGGTATATTTGCTATGCCAAAAACAGTAACAACAAGTCTCACAATGAAGACGTTACTGATGCCCACTCGAGCAAATCGATGAACAACAGGAGGATAGTGCTACAGTGCTACAAAATAATCTAAAATGTTTTGCAATTATGCAAGAAAATGCCCTTATTCAGGACACCGGTGTAAGATATTGGTGGTGAAGGTACAGTAACTGTACATCAAAAACACTGCTTCTATTGTTAACATGTTAAAGGAGAAATTAAAAACAACATTCAAAAGACGAGCAAGAGAAATATTACAACAAGTATGGTAGCTTGCCTTGCACACTGCCAAACCAGGTTTGAACCCCGTTCCCCCCCAACCCTATTTGATCCCCCAGATCCACAAGGAGTAAGTAAGAGCACAAAGACAGAAGTAAGCCCTGAGAACTGTTAGGTGTGGCACAAATTTAAAACAAAACATTTAATGATAATATCTTTATACTAGGAAATATACATTGAAATAGTGACTAGAGGATTGACAGATTTATGCTATGTTATATATATCCACTTCTCTTCAATACCTTTAGGCTGATTTTAACTCTGTAGTGTTTTGGAAAGATTATCTCAAAATGGGAGATACTTTAGTAAGCTTAATTCTTATTTTTTGAAAAGTGTCTATGTTGATTTTCATAGAGGTTAAAATTTGACATCCCCACCAACAATGGATAAAGGTTCCTTTTTCCCTACACTCACACAAGCACTCAATGTTTTTGTTCTTTTTGAAGTGTGCCATTCCCACTGGTGTGAGACAAACATCTTATTGTTGTTTTGATTACAGTTCCCTGAAGAGTGATGAAGAGAAATTTTTAAATAGACTGACTGGACATCTGTCTGTCTTCTTTAAGGAAGTGTCTATTCATCTCATGTCCCCATTTTTTAATTTTTGTTGTTGTTGTTAATTTTCACAGTATTGTATATATCTTGACTATTAACATTTTGTCAATTCAGTAGTGGGAGAATATTTTCTCCCAGTCTGTATTATCTCTTTAATTATTTCTTTTGTAGTATAGAAATGTCTTTTTTTTTTTTTTTTGCTTTTTGGGTCACACCTGGCGATGCATAGGGGTTACTCATGGCTCTGCACTCAGGAGTTACTCCTGGCTCTTCACTTAGGAATTACCCCTGTCGGTGCTCAGGGAACCATATGGGGTACTGGGAATTGAACCCGAGTCGCCCGCGTGCAAGGCAAATGCCCTAACTGCTGTGCTAATGCTTTAGCTCCCAAGAAATGTCTTAATTTGATGTAATACCATTAGTTCATCATTGCTTTCCTTTGTTTGACTAATGACATAGTCATTGAAGATGCCTCTGGATTCTCTGTCATAAGGGTTCTGCTTATGTTTTCCTAAAAATAATGTATGGATTTATGTATGTTATCAGTGTTTTAATCTTTTTTTAAAATTTTTATTAGTGAAACACCATGAGGTACAGTTGTAGACTTAGGAGTTTTTGTGCTTGGATTTCTGTTATACAATGATCGAGAACCCATCCTTCCACCAGTGCCCATTCTCCATGACCAATGATCCCAGTATCCCTCCCACTCACCCCCACCCCCCCCAATCCCATCCCGCCTCTGTGGCAGGGCATTCCATTTTGTTCTCTCTCTCCTTTTGGGTGCTGAGGTTTGCAAAAGAGGCATTGAGTGGCAATCATGTTCGGTCTACAGTCTAATTTCAGCATGCATCTCCCATCCTGGGAGAATCCTCCCAATACCCTTTACTTGATGTTCCCTTATCTGTCTGAGCTGCCTTTTCCCCTAGCAAGTGTGGTTGGCCTTCAAGCCATGGAATCAACCTCCTGGTACTTATCTCGACTATTCTTGGATGTTTGTCTTCTATTTTGTTACTTTCTATTCCCCAGATGAATGCAGTCTTTCTATGTCTGTCCCTCTCTTTCTGACTCATTTCACTTAGCATGATACTTTCCATGTAGTATCACTTGTATGTAAATTTCATGAC